GAGCGTCGGCGACTTCTGGTCGTTGGGTTTGATGCAGCGCACGTAGTAGGGCTCCTGCGAGGACACAGACGGGGTGGCACCACGGCGGCACCCATGAGTGGCACCGAACCCACGGGTGTCCTGGGCTGGGGGGCTCCGGGCACGCAAGGCGGGATTGCACCGGGCACGGGTGGCATGGGGACAGGAGGCCTCAGTGGCTTGGGGACATGCCAGGCTGGCTGAAGGACGTCTTGGCTGGCTGGGGACATGCCAGGCTGGCACGGGGACACGCTCAGCTGGCTTGGGGACAGACCTGGCTGGCTTGGGGACATGCCTGGCTGGCTCAGGAGCATGCCCACGTGTCTTGGGGCCATGCCTAGCTGCCACGGGGATATACCAAGATGGGTTGGGGACGTGCCCAGCTGGCATGGGGACATGTCAGATTGGTGCAGGGACACGCCAGGCTGGTGCAGGGACATGCCAGGCTGGCACGGGGACGTGCCCGGCTGTCCCCAGTCCCTTACCTTGCAGGCGAGGTTCTCTACCAGGGCCACGATGGAGTTCTTGAAGAGCGTGCCAGTGGTCAGGGGGCGCTTGGTGACCTCGGTGATGCTCTGCTCGCCGTCGGGCCACATGGCGCGCAGCACGGGGTCCGCGCTGGGGACGGCGTTGGCGTGGGGCTGGCAGCACCGGGAACCCCGCTCCCTCCCCACGGCTGTGCCACCAGCCCCACGGCTGTGTCCCCTGTGTCCCCAACCTGTTGTAGAGGAGCCGTTTGAAGTCCTGGAAGAGCGTGTCCTTGTTCTTGTCCAGGAAACCCTCCACCGAGTACCTGAGGGAGGGGGACATCACACTGGGGGGCTTCTCCAGCCACCCTGGGGTGTTGGGGGGGGGAGGAGCTGCACCCTGCGGGACCCAGGCATCCGGGCAGCCCTTCCTCCCCGTGGTGGGCCAGGAGCTGCCAGGGGCACGCAGCCCCATGCAGAGGTGACATGTGGCCCTGGAGGTGGCCCTGGGGGCACCCATGGGGGGCAGGGGACCGCGGTGTTCGGTGTTCACAGACACTGAATCCCCTGACCCTGTCCCCACTGTCCCCAGGGCATGGCATGGCATGTCCTACACAGCCCATCCTGCTGCACGTGGCCTCTTGGGGACCTCCCAGAGCCCATGGACCCCAACGGTCCCCCAAATGGCCTCCCATGGTCCTAAATGGCTCCACACAATCCCCATGGGTCCTCAAAGCTCCATGGCTAACCAAGGCCACCCCATAGTCCCCCAGGGGCCCCTATGGCTCTCCATGATCCCAAGTGGCCCACCCCCCTGGTCCCCCATGCCCTCCCAAGGTCCCTCATGGCCCCGCACAGTTCTCCGTGGCCCCACCACGACCCCATGGCCACTCATGGATGTTCATAGTCCCTGATGGCCACCCACACTCCCATGGCCCCAAATGACACCCCCCCAAATCCCCCACAGTTCACCATGATCCCCACAGCCTGATGGTCCCCCACGACCCCAAAACACCTCCCACAGTCCCTCAACCCCCCCTCCATGCTCCCACGTGGCCCCCATGGTTCTTCAAGGCTCCACGGTCAACCCTAGACCCTCAAGAGCCCCTACAGCCCCATGATCCTGAGTGGCCCCCCATGGCCCCCACGGACTCCCAAGGTTCCTCATAGCCCCAAGGCCCACCATGGTCCCCCATGGTCCCCCATGGCCACTCACGATGTCCATAG